AGCAGGAAGACTTACTGCTAAGATTCAAAAGTGGCTAACAGGCAGTTTTTTTTAAGGTATCTTAGAAAATGTTCACATAAGTAGTTGGTTTCAACTCCTCTGCTTGCTCTCCTCCCGACCCCCGCCAACTTTTTTTCCAGTACTGGGAAGTGAACTCTGAGTACTAGTATCAGTGAGCTATAACCTCAGACCCTTTCTTTTTTCCCTCCCTCCCTTCCTTTCTTCCTTTTCTTTCTTTTTGGTACTGGGGATCAAACTCAAGATGCTGCAATTGCCAGGCAGGCGCAGAGCTACTTAGCTAAATCCCCAGCCCACCATTTCATTTTTTGTGACAAGGACTCACAAAGTTGCCCAGGCTGGGCTCCAACTTGGAATCCTCTTGTCTCAGCCTCTCAGTAGGTGGGATTACAGGCATGTGCCACAGTGCCTGGCTTCAACTCCATTTCTATTCACCAAGGTGTAAGTATAGAGTTTTTGTTAATGTTATACACAATAAAAAATACTTTAAAAACATCTTTAATTAAACCTGACTATAAAATGTTCAAAATCACTTTTTAATCTTTTATATACATTTTAATTTTATCCCATTTGCCCTTCAAGCCCCCTTACCTAAGCTTCGTTTCCATTTTTCTCTATTTTCACTTTTTTTCTTGTCCTTTCCTTCCTCCCTCCACCCTCCCTTGTTCCCCTTCCCATTTGAACATTTTCTTCCCATTTCCCAACATCCATTATACATCTCAGTCCTTATTTCCACTTTCAATTTTTCCCACCAAAGAAACAATGCAGTATTTAAACATGTTTCTGATTTATTTCACTTAAGAGTATGGTCTCAAGGTCCATCCATTTAGCTATAAATGCCTGAAGCTTGTCCTTCTTTATGGCAGAGTAGTACTCCATTGAATAAAAAAACCACATCTTTATCCATTCACCTGTTGATGAGCAGTTGGGCTGTTTCCAAGTTTGTGCTATTACAAACTGTGCTGTTATAAACATGGATGTGCATATATTGCTGTGGTATGATGCTTTTAATTCTTTTGGAAAGATACCAAGAAGTGGTATAGCTAGGTCAAATAGAACTTCTACTTTTAATTTCTTGAGAAATCTCCATGCTGATTTCCACAGTGGTTGCATCAGTCTACACTCCCAGCAGCAGTGGAGAAGGGTTCCCACAATCATTTATTTCTAAGGTACCTTATAATTTTCCTTTTTATTTCAATGTTTAGAAAGAACCAAGCAGTGAAACACAAGCCCTCCATCCTAGCCAGGCATGGTGGTCCATGCCTGTAATCCCAGCACTCAGGGGATTATCATGAGTTCAAGCCCAGACTGATCTACATAGCAGGACCCTGCCTCAAAGAGAAAAAAAAAAAAATCTCCATCTTGAAAGTCAAAATAAGATCAAGATTTTTCAAAACTTAGGAATTTAGGAAAACAAGAAAATAGATGTGAGAATAATGAGTTTTAGAGACACAATCTCCCAAAAACAAATGTTACTAGGAACAGAAACACAAGAGTTTAACCAAACCTTCTGCATAGAGTCTGACCTGACCTTCAATTTTCTAACTATAAAATACAACACGTATACTAAATATCTGTGAATGATGCAATAAATTTCCTTTCATCCTTTTAGAAGTGATTATAATGTAGGGGGCAGCACAAGAATTGAACAGAGGAAACACTGAGCTACAGCCCAGCTCCTTTTACTTCAAAACACCGTATAAGTTAGCAAGACTAGTCTCCAATTTAAGATCTTCCTGCTTTAGCCTCTGAGTAGCTGGGATTAAGGTATATACTGTCACATGTGATTATAAATTTGGATCTGGTGTATTTATTCATTAATAAACATTTGAGCTCCTCTTAAATTCTAGTTTATTAGAGATACACAGTACTTAAGCAAAATCTTTTAAAAATATATAAAGTTATAAACTCAAGAGAGTAAAATAATTTTTTTTAAAAATTACTTTGAAATAACTATAGATTTTTTAGGAGTTACAAAAAGAATATACAGGGAAGTCTTGTGTACCCTTCCCACAATGCCATGCTTTTTTTTTGAGACAGTTTGGTAGGCTTGAAATTCTGGGCTCAAGCAATCCTCCTCCTACCTTAGCTCCCTCAAGCACTGAGTAGCTGGGACTACAGTCATGTACCATCATCTTATGTAACTTTTCAGTACCTTTTGATTATATTGGATATTGGATATAAAAAGAAAGAACATGTTAGTGATATCAGAATTCTTATGAAAATAGCCCCAAAAGCTTGTTTCTGTGGAAAGAGGGGAAAATGTGACTTAAGGGTCTTTTAGATTTTCAGGTCTTATATAAATAAGGAGAATTTAAAAATTCTAAACTTATGCCATGAAAAACTCTGATGGCTCTTCCATAACAAAAACTGGTATCATCTACACTTTGTTTCCTCTGCGTGGGGAAAATTATACCTGAAAGACATTCACCTTTATGAGGAACAGGAAAATCCTCATTTCTTTAAATAGGAGCATTAAAAAGACAGTCATTCTATAATTATCTATAAATTGAATTATTTCCTCATAACAACATTTGTACAATATTTGTACAAGAAAAAATTTAACTCTATAATATAGTGACAAGTGCAAATACACTTAAGAAGAAAATAGGCAGTACATAATACCCCTTCCACTGCCCTCTTTCAAGTAAGTTATTCCTTTTTAATTCTATAATTCAAGGCTCTGTTCTTTTGTAACTGCATTAGAGTACACATACCAGACACATACACAAGGCACAAGTGTATAACACACTGTATACTAGGCTAATTAAAACAATAATGTAGGTGTGGTGGTGGATGCCCATAATCCCAGCACTTGGGAAGCTGAGGCAGGATGATAGCTATGAGTATGAGATCAGCCTGTGCTACACAGTGAGATCTTGCCTCAAAAAAATAAAACAATAAGGACTGTGGATGTATCTCTAGGAAGCAAAGAATCTCTGAGCATGTACAGGTGTCCATACATGCCTAATACTGGGAGACTGGGGTGTATCTATCAGATGCTTTATATGAAGAAAGTCTAGAAAGTAGAGTGTAACTCAGTAGTATTGCTTCCCTAGAATACCTGACATTATGGATTTCAGCTCCAACAATGGGGAGGGGCACACAGAATGACCAGTACTTTAGACTGAGAGCCTCTTTCCTCTCAGTCCCCCATTCTAGGGTTCCTCCCATCACTACTGTCATTAGCAGTGACTATATCTAGGCAGAGCCAGTGGCGGTCAATGTAATTTGAGTACCTTCTTTGAGAATCTATTATTTTCCCAAAAAACAGAAGAAAAAAAGAAAGTAAACCGAAAAACAGCTTATACATAGTACACAGAGAGTATCTATTGCATTTATTTTTCTGGAATTCACTTAGGTGACTTACAATGGCTTTTAAAAACCCTATAATAATTGGGCTGGGGATATGACTCAGTGGTAGAGCCCTTAACTAACAAATGTAAGGCCCTGGATTCAATCCCCAGTATCTCAAAACAATAAAACCAAAGAGTAAGAACCCCCTCAAAAATAATCACATTTAAACAGCCTGAGTAGGATACTTCACTAATAGTAGACAGTACCTCCAGACCTTCCCCAATAGCAGGAGCAGGAGTGATAAAAACAAAACGCTTCTAGTAGAAACACCAACTAAAGGAGACACAATGACAGTATTTTCTTGCTTTCAATGTGACAGTTTCTAGAGTCCTAAAATAAAGAACTTGCTTTTTTCTTTCTGGTATTGGAAATCAAACTTAGGAACTTGTGCTTGCCAGGCAGGCACAGTACTACTGAGCTAAATCCCTGGCCCAAATTTTTTCATTTTAAAATGTATTAAATTCATCTTTCTAATGATAAAAGTCTCGTTAATCAAGATGCATCCATATATAGAACCAGAGAACATGTACTTTTCCCTGCCTCAGCTTCAATAATCACTTGAACTTGCAATTTTCAAAAACAATATTTCAATAATTTAGTACTGAAGTGTTTCATCATTCAAAAACAAAAGCAAGTGAAATCTACCCAGACAAATACCTAGCCCAAACTGTTTAGAGGCAAGGTAAGAATAGACCACTGAATACATCAGAAATGGCTTCCACAAAAACAAGTCAAAATATTCCCTTTGTTCTATTTAAATACAGCTTGACTTTCTGAACTCAGCTTTCTTTTTAAAAAAGCAAATTCTGTGCCAGGTGTGGTGGTATACCCCTGTAATCCCAGTTACTCAGGGAACTAAGGATCCCAAATTTGAGGCCAGCCTGGGCAATTTAATTTAGCAAGACTCGTAATGAAAATTAAAAAGTGTTGTGGGTATAGCTCATTGCCAGAACACCCCTGGCTGGATTTAATCCCCAGGACCACAAAAACTAATCAATTAACCAGTCAGTCAATCAAGCAAAAAGCAAATCATGGGCTTAAATGGATAGTAGTATACATCTACATATTGTTAAGACTAAAATTTAGTTAAGATTTAAAAAGTTAGTTAAGATTAAAATTTAGAACCAACTTTCTTTCCAAAATAAGCACAACAGATCTGTGTTCCCTGAAAATAAGATCTAACCAAAAATAATCAGCCTTGAAAATTAGAGCTCAAAAATGCCAGGCCCAGTCCCTTCACCTTACCTGACACATAGAATAGCCACCAATAGTGAGGTAAAATCTGCATGACACTGGCCATCACCATGGTAATGACCAGACTCTATTTTCCCATTAGGCCTTACTTTCAGGGAAATACAGTCTTACATTAAAAATAAGTTATCTTGATTCTTGATGCCAGCAAATTGTAAAAGACAAAAAAAATTTTTAAAAGACTAAATTCTGGCTCAGAAGTTATTTATACAAGTAATCTTAGCTAAAGAAAAATTCCCCTTAAATTTATTTTAATCAAGAATCCAAAATGAGAAAAATATAAATGCAAATTAACACTATTTTGTTGTGCTAAAATAATCGCATGTAATATTTTGCCTTTCCCTATTCAATGTACCTTTAATTTAAATACTTACTCTGAGCCTGCAGCCATTTCCAAGTATGATGCTTCTGCTTTATCACCCCCCAAAGGGATCACTATGCTCATGACGTTCGCCTCTGGTAAATTCGATTACTATGGAGTCCTATGCATTGGTATCCAAAACACTGGGGCATGCCAGCCACAGTGCTCATTGCAAACATCTAAGTGCATCCACAAACCCTGTTTAAAAGAAATGGGAACAAAAGAGTTAAGAAATATTTTAAGCAATAACAATCACACTATAAAAACAGTAAAACATATGGAGAAAACATTCTTTACCAAGATCTTAATATAAACGGAAATTTGCTTCTTTTTCTGAAATAAATTGTGTGACTATAACCAAACTAAGTTTTGGGGGATGTAGCTCAGTGACAGAACAATGTGTAAGCATGTCTGAGGCCCTGGGTTCAATCTCCATAGAAAGAAGGAGGGGTGAAGTAATGAAGGAAGGAAGCGGGAGAGTAGTTAATTTCTGATAAACTTTCCAATTTCAGATGTCATAGATTACTAAGGCATACTTAATTTATTTTAAAAGATCAAATTTAATTTCTTACAGCATTAGCATTCAAAAACATTTCTCCTTGGTTCAATAAGTGATCTAACCAGTATATTAACAACTTATGGATTACGCACCACACCAAGCCTTTTGCATGAATTCTCATAATTCTGAGACAGTTATCTCCATTTTATCACTAACAAACACAAAGCTAAGAAAGGCTAAATAACCAAAGTTTCTCAATTTAAGAGATAACATCAGGATTAGAAACAATTTTACTCTACTGCATACATATATACACAAGGAAATCTTTTATTTGCAATAAATTCAATAGCTTTACAGTGACTGTCATTTTTTCATAATACATACATCTATGAATATCAGGGGAGTTCTGTACTTTTTCTTTTCTTGATTTTTTTTTTGAGACAGGGTCTCACTATGTAGTTGAGACTGACCTGGAACTCACAGAGATCCTCCTGCCTCAGCCTCCCGAATGCTGGGATTACAGGCGTGCGCCACCACACCCGGCTCTTTACTTTTTCAATTAGTTTTAACTCTCTAGAATTAATACAACTAGTTAGTGGAGAAAATAAATTTAGAGCTTTAAACACATTTATGACAATAACAAAAAGATAGTCAGCTTTAACATCAATTTTTCTAACTTAAATTCACTTGATAACATTTGCCACATGTATTTTTATAAAATTTCTACTCAGTCTTTTCAGTAATGACACCATAAAACTTATGAAAACAGACAATCCTTTAAAATAGAAAACAGCAATAGCAATATTGCCCTCTCCCTCTAGGGCTATACTTGAAATAAAGAGCGGTGTTTCTTCAAATATTTTTTATATTTACTTTTAATCTTTACAATTAAGCTTGAGAATATCTAATGAGGTTAATTCCTATTTCATAGATATAGATTATGAGTTCATACTCTATGAGGGAAATTTATCAAAATAGGAAAATAAGGTATTAAAAGTGTTTGAAGTTTACAAAAAAACTAGCTTTTACTTTTACACTTTTACATCATGTGTAACTAGAAGAAAGCTACTAGATTATGTTCTTATAATATGAAAATACACAATGGTGTAGTCCCAACTATTCTGGAGGCTTACACAGGAGGATCATGTAAGCCCAGTAGTTCCTCACCAGCTTGGGAAATATAGTGAGATCTCACCTCAAAACAAAACAAAACCCAAAACAACAGGCAATTACACCTAAAAGAAACATTAATTTTGGAGCCTGCTCTTACCCATAACAAGATATGCTAGATTGGGCAAGTTATTTAATCTAAGAAACAGGTCCCCTGTTTATAAAATGGAGACATCCTCATAGGGTTTCTGTGAAGGAAATGAAATAATAAATGCAATGCATTTCAAAGAACACATTACACAGACTTTAACAATCAATGCACAGCACAGGTTGTACATCCCTAATCTGAAAATATGCAACTTGAAATGCCCCAATACCTGTTTGGGTTTCAGAGTTTTAGATTGGAAATATTCGACTGGTTAAATCTATGCAAACATTCCAAAACTTAAAAAAAATTCAAAATCTGAATTTCCAGTCCAAGCATTTTCAATAAATGATGCTTGAACCATACCCACATAATAAGAATTCCTCTTATTGTATCCCAAAGTATATGTATATAGAAAAGTACTGTAGTTCTCATTTAGAGAAAATCTGTTAATAGCTTTTTTAAAAACTACCATTTTCTACATGCCATATTTTTATAATTTGCTCCACAAATTAAAATCACTCCCCAAAGATGATTAAAACAGTGAACAAGGACCTGGGATGTAGCTCAGTGGCATTGCACCTGACTGGCCAGTGTGAGGTCCTGAGTTAGATCAGATCCCTGGTTCCATATGTATGTGGGGAGGGTGAGCAAAAGGCAGTACTGCCCTACCTGCTTTTCTGTACATATGACCACATTAGAGTTACTTCATAAATGCCCTGCTTATTAACTAGCACGAAACTTTGAAATTTCTATGTGGCAAGTACAATGTATAAACCTATGACTCTGTTCTATTCAAATGCTACACTATTCTGCATTTCCTTAGCTACACTGCTGAAGACTTGGACTAATAAAGGCAGCAACCACAATTTTTTAAAAAACTCTTTCTTGGGGGCAGTGATTTAGGTCAGTGGTTCTTTGCCTACCTCACAAGCACAAGGTCCTGAGTTCAATCCCCAGTATGGGCAGTGGGTGTGAGGGGTAGTCATGGTATGTAAAGGACTCTTTCTTGTGGATAACATCAAGTTGGTAGATGTTTTCTTCAGCTCAGGTTATCTTTGTATCAGATTTACAAGAAAGTCATTTTAAGTAACTCAAAATTTTAAGTAACTGAGTAATCTGATCTAAAATGATCTATTTGGGTATATATTTAATAGTGTGTACCTCTTCATGTAACTATATAATCATCAAACACTATCCTTGAGCAGAAGGATAGTGACACTAAAAAGGATAGAAACACTATCCTTTAAATAGCAGATAGCAGAAGAGTTTGCTATATGCTTGTTTTGGACAATGGCTTCCATTTGTTTGATTAGTACCTGTCTCCCAAACCCTGCACAATGCCTGGAAGTTAACTGTACTCTACAAAAGGACTTGTAAATGAACAACTGGGATGAAAGTATAGTTCTGGCCTCAGTAACCAAATGACTGTCACCCTATACATCAAGTGCTATAAACACAACTATACGACAACTCCAGAAATCTCTCTAAAAATGCAGAAACTCATCCTCAGGATAAAAACATCATCATATCTGAAAGAAAACTATATACTCCGAGTTTGATTCAATGAGAAAGAAGATCTTGGTAATTTACTCACAAAAGGTCAGAAGACAAGAATTCACAGATACTGAGGCCATAAAATGACAAATATTTCACTATTTCCAATTAATGTCAAAAGTTGTTCTACAGTCAGAAAACTCATGCTGCTCTAAAACCTGGTTTATATTTAATAAAATCATAAATTCATTAGGGTTAATTCACTGTCTCTAAAAATAACTTTTTTTAGAGACAGTAGAAAAACCAATGTGGAAAGCCAAAAAGAAATGAGCTTACAGCACAGGCATAAAGGGGCAGGTACCGTAAACTTTCCCATATACAAATCCAAAAATTGGTCATCCAACTGGCAAGCAAGTGTTATACAAAATAACTGAGAATGGCAGCCATTAAAGAAATAATATAAAAGGAAATACCATGAGATGTCTGGGAAATCTGAGGTCCAAGAAAGAATAAATGTCTTCACAAAACCTGCTATCCAGAATAGACCTAGAAACCAAGTGAACACAGGAGTATTGAGCTATTTTCAAATGACATAAAAGTCTAAGTACTTCTGACTAACCCAGTACCTAAAACCAAGGGGCTCACACAATGACAGCAGCAGATCCTTAAAAAGGTGAGCTTATTCCTCATTCTTTTATATAAAATATTAAATACCAACTCAAACAAAAAAGAAACTAGGAATATAATATTAAAAGTAGATTTAATAAAAGCAAAGGCAAAATAACAAAAAAAGAAGAGCAAAATAAAAAGAGATTAAGGCAATTAAAGCAGGTAAGAAAAAGCAGAAGAAAAACTAGAAGACTAAGGCTGTTTGTGAGATCATGCTAAAAAAAAGTTAATATTTATACTTTGTGTTTTTTTGGTACAGGGGATCGAACCTGGGTCCTTGTGCTTGCAAGGCAGGCGGCGGAACCACTGAGCTAAATCCCCGGTAATGTTTATACTTTGGATGTGTACCATCAATAGACACAGATCAGGCAGATGAATTTTTGGCCTAATTATGAACAGAAATGAAATAAACTAAACTAGAAAAAAATTTTGAGAGACCTTATATTTTCTTGTAAATTAGAGATTAAAATGCCTTTGTTATTCATTTAAGGTTCTCCTGTTTGGTTTAGTTTGGTTTTTTAACAGTAGCTGACTAATGCATAATAAAAATACCAGTCAGTCAAGCTCCATTCCAAGTTAATACCTATAAACCTTGGGCAAGCCATTGTACTCCTCTAGGTTTCAACTATAAATGGAGGTTACTTAGACTGATGATCTTACAGTAGCCACAAGTATATTAAATTATTTTTGGTAATCAAAATAATAGAATAAAAATCAATTCTAAAAAGCTATAAAATATATGTCTGGTAAGAGAGTAGGTCTCCCCAAATGGCAGGGTCAAGAGAGTGCTCCACAAGCTTCTAAATGAATGATACTCAAACCTCCCCAACAAGTGTTGTAACAATAGCAATGGTACATGTACATTTTACCCTACTTTACAGATGAGGCAGAGAGGCGAACTTATCAGTAATAGTCAAATCAGGATTTCAACCCAAGTAGTATGATTCCAGAGCCTATTTTTTAGCTTGCTTGAAATTAAAATGTCAGATAACCAGTAAAATAAAAAATTGAGAGCTTATACTTAGCAGGGAAATGATGGTTGCCTTCTTTAAAAAGAGAAATTAGGGCTGGGGATTTAGCTCAGTGGCACTGCACCTGCCTCAAAAGAGCAAGGTCCTGAGTTTGATCCCCGGTACCAAAAAAATAAAATAAAATAATGATTGAAAATTATATTTTCTTGTAGTCATGGTTTGGCTGGTGAATCCACTTGAAAAACTAAAACATATATAAAATTCAATGTTCAAAAACACATTTCTGGTTCTATAAAATCTTCACTGTATTGTTTTGAACAATTCCAATCAGCTGTTAAAATTAAATTCACTATTAAAGTAGCCATCCTTTGGTTTTCACATTCTGCTACTTATTAATAATGATTAAATATTCTCTTTAAGCCTTAGCTTCAGCTTTGAAAAAAATCATAGGAAATTTTCTGAATTAATTATTGAGAGATTGTGTGTGGCACTTAGTTTAAGTATTAGATGCTTCTGTATTTGATTGCAAATTCAGAAAACAGGTTACAGAGCAAGTAGTTTCATTTAAAAACTATAGCCATACCCTTTATAGCTGTAATTTTACATAAAGAATAATGATAAAATAAACAAGCCATCTGGACCCTTAGATATTTTTCATAAAATTTTTGTCAAAACAATGTTGATAGCCAGGTGTGGTGGCGCATTCCTATAATCCCAGCACTTGGAGAGGCTGAGGCAGGAGTATGGTCATAAATTTGAGACCAGCCTAGGATACATAGTTAATTCAAGCCAGCCCAGAAGACACAGCAAGACCCTGTCTCAATGAGAATCAAATGATCCCTATAAAATTAAGGCAGAGTCACTTTTCCAAATCAGCCAGCACTTGGGAGAATTCCATAATGGTTTACCTTGCAACCAAAATTACTGTATCTTTAGTTCACTAGAGATGTGAATCAAAGAAATTCATATTTTAAAATACTACATAGCCACAAAGACTAAATGAACACCAATGTAAAATATGGACTTTGGTTAGTAACAACATGTCAATGTTGGCTCAAGAAATTTAACAAATGGGGCTGGGGATTGAGCTCAATGGTTCTGCTGCCTGCTTCGCAAGCTCAAGGACCCAAGTTTGATCCCCAGTACAGAGAGAGAGAGAGAGAGAAATTTAACAAATGTGCACCCCTCTGGTGAAGGATATTGAGAGGATGGTGAGAGGAGTGCCTGTTCTGAGGCAGGGATCACATGAGAATGCACTTTCTGCTCAGTTCTGCTGTGAACCTAAAACTGATCTGAAAAATGATCTATTCTTTTAAAATACAGGTATGAATTTGAGATCGTGAACTACTTGCCAATATATAATTACATACCATAGGGAGCTATTCTAAATACCAATTTTGTAACCAAATAAACTCCATCTTCAAACCCCCCAAGTTAGATAGAATACATTAATTTCAATTTTATCCAGCTTTTACATGTGATTTTTCTATAAAGAGATTATATATATAAATGAAAAATAAATCACATGTACTAAGCTGAATATTCTCATGAAAAGCCATTCGAAAGTAGGGAAAAATGGCTGTGTGAAATTTGAAACTGAATTTAGAATATTTTTGTTCAAAATCCTTAAGGTACTATTTATAAGATAAACAAATTTTAGGGCCCAGGATTTAGCTCACTAGCACAGCATCTGCCTCAAAAGCTCAAGGTCCTAAGTTCAATCCCCAGAACCAAAGAAAAAAGAAAAAGAAAGGAAACAAAATTTTATTTCCTACAAGGGCTATTTACACTATGCCATTGGAATTTTCTTTTAAATACAACTTGCATAATCACTTTAGATTAAATTTGAATAACAAATTTGTTTTTTAATCTCAAAGTAATTACATAATGAAAGAGCATTTATCCTTTGGCACCACTGTACAAGATATATAGTACATCAATTTTAATTTTAAATTCAAAGATCAAGCCAGGGATGTAGCTCAGTGGCACTGCACCTGCCTGGCGAGAGCAAGGTCCTGAGTTCAATCCTTGTGTGTATTTGTGTGGGTAGGGTGGGGGGTATCAAAGATCAAGCAGTTAACAAACTAATATACAGCTAATAAGTTAATACTAATACATAACAGTACTGGTCATATATATTTATAATATACCAATTACAGGCTTAAATCTGAAAACCTAATATGGTGACTCAGCAGTATGTCAACACCAGCATCAATGATTTTTCTTAAAGAATATATGTGAGATCAACAAGCCATAATTATTAGCTATTTTTATATTTTATATAAAAGGCACTCAACTCTTTGACACTGAATGAATCAGTTATAAAATTATCAGAGTTCAAAAAAATCTGTAAAAAGAGTACAATCTAAATCTGACAAAGTACTAAGGGGCTCTGGATCTTGATAAGTTATTCTGATAAGTTCCTAAAACACTTGAAATCTGTCATTTCATCAGATAAGATTAATTCCTATAAGTGCTAAATAAGTGTCAAATTTCAAAATGACATTTTTAGATTTTCAAGATAGTAGATAGTTACAAAATACGATAGGAAGCATCTTTTGAATTTGGATAACATTAAACTCAAATGTGAAATAGAAAAGAAATACAGTAGGAACCAATCCCTTTTGCACTAAAAAAATCTAAATTTACATACATACAACAGGGGCTACAAGTTGATCAGAGTTAACAGGAAGAATTAAAAAAAAAACATTTTAAATATTGTATTTTTAACTTAAAAAATCATTATCATTTTTTTAGAGTTAAGCCAAAAGGTATGTTTTGAATATTGCTCCCCTAACTGCAATTATGGGTCATGTATTTTTATAAAATATACTTAAGGTAGGCATAGTAGCACACAGCTGCAATCCAGCACTCTGGGAAGATGAAGCAGGAGAATCCAAAGTTCAAACTTAGTCTGTGCAACTTAGTGAGATCCTGTCTCAAAATTAAAAGGTTTGGGATGTAGCAAGGCCCTGGGTTCAATCCTCAGTACCAGGGGAAAAAAAAAGTAATGCACTGATTAGTTTTTGGCTTATTTGAATGTAAGAAATTATTGAAGACACTTGCATAGTAATCTATATACAGACTTGCTACTAGATTCTTATATTTCCCCATAATCTTTATCTTGCCCACACATAACTTGACAAATTTCCTTAGCAATGAATTTGCCTTTATTAAGTTTTCCAAGATATTTAACATTGTTTTCATTAAACATTTCTTTCTACATATTAATCACTGATTTATGTAATATTTAATAAAATAATCACACAAACCAAGTACAATGAGATTAGCTAATTTGGGAACAATTATAACTATGAACATTCAACTAACAAGGTTAAACAAAGATTAAGGAAACTTCTATAGTGTCCACCTAAAACATTTTAGGAAAAATAAAGTATAAATGCTGGTCATCTCATCACATGAAAGATCTTTGGGAAGAAAATCAAATAAACTGAAACTATGGAGTTTACTAAGAATTTTACATATATTTTACCTCACTGAATTCTCAAAATAACCCTGTTACCATTTCCATTCTGCAGACCAAGTAAGCCACAAAAAAGTAATTGATGTGCCCAAGGTTACACAACAGTAAGACCTGGTTAGAGTGTTATCAAACCAAAGCGGTATGCTTCTAGAATCTTAAATCCTACAAAATATGCCTCTAAAGAAGTATAGCACTCTTGAGTTATTTTAATAATAATATACTGCTTTCACAATCTATATTCCATTATGTATTTCCCCAAATTAAAATTTTCAGTAGCTCTCCCCCAAAGTACACATTATTTTATTCTGATATCCAAGGCTCAACACAATTTGCTCCTGTATTGTATAATTTCAATCTAAGACCTTTATATAAAAAACACGGGTTCTGGAAATCAACAGATCATCTTAAACTGTGATGTACAA